ACTACATATTTGATTTTTATCAAGAAAAGACATGAGAGGTTTTGTTTGGTTTTTTCCCAGCTAAAAGAACAGAATAGGAAAAGATTTTCTGAGGTCACTGAGGCACAGAAACTAAAGTGATTATTTAGCTTCTGTGTCAGCACAACCTCCTTTGCAGTGTCCTACCTGTCAGAAGACAGATGACTTGGTCCAGAGACCTAAGTACAAACAAAAATAGAACAGAAATTGGAAGACTTAAGAAGGCCAAGCAGAGGTATTTGTAAAAGTTTGTCCGGTATTTTAGTCAGAAAGAAGCTTTTTGAAACGTAATGCAAGAACCATTAGATATCCGTTCACATTATATCTATCAGAATTTAGTAGAAAATCTTTTCATAATTACAACTAATTCAAATTCAAGGCAGTTCCTTCAGTAAGTACCTTCTTACTGATATTTATTTTACTAAGCTAGTCTCAATAATGAAATTCCAATTAGTGATCTTCTACGAACAGCATATATTAAGTTTGCACAATTTGAGAACTCTTTTGTTTTCATCAACTAAACAAGATTATATTCCTTCAAAAATTGCATTATTCAGATTTGCATGTGTAGGCTGAAACTTGTTGAACCATCACATAAAATCATCACTGCAATTATCTTTTCCAGTTCTCATTTCTGAACAGACGCCAGTGAGGGACACAGCAGCAGAAACAACCTTAAGTGCAGTACTTTGATTCTTCCTCCAGAATGGTTATCTGCACTGGATTTTTCAAAGATCAAGCTCACATAAATGCTTAGCAGTTTGCACAAAATAAAGGAGTTTATGGAAAGGTCCAAGTATAATCTTAGGCTCAGATGAAGAAGTGACAGAAGCCACTTAATATCCCTCACAAGGATACGAAGGATAGGAGACAAAACCATTATTTGGCTTTTTTTTTTATGTCAAGGAATTTTTTATGTAGAAAGTTGGGTTTGTATTTAAGTTATGCTCCTGTATGAGAACTCAAAAGAAGCTGACAAAATATACAACACTTATTTCCTTATTTTTATAGCTGACCTTTAAAAACATGTTTTTAAACATACTGCCCATTTAGCTATTATAGTTCATAATTTTAAAAGCATGTTACCATTCAGGATGTACAGAACAAACAGCATGGTTCCCTTTTCTTCTCCCTCAGATTAATTTAGCATAGCATATTTTTATTTGACACATAAGAACACATTCTAAATTAGCAATGGAGGGACACCTGGCAACCTATTCAGCAAGTAAGCTCCTGCTCTCAGTCAAACATTGCAGAAGGTGTTCTCTCTATTACAGACATAGCACAACCTTCAAATTAACCTCTAATTTTTGACCTCAAGGTTAAAATTAGTGTCTGTGAATATTTACAACTTTAACATTTCATCATTTGAAAATTTAAGCACCAACGTTTCCTACATTAAGACGGGAATTTTGGAATAAAAAGATGGTATGATTGTACAATCAGGATGGGAGGGTTTCCGTATAGGCAGCCAAAATGAATTCTAGACCTAAAAAATCACTCTTTGAGAACACCTTTTTATAGCAATGCCTGCATTTGCACACAGTAAAAAACAAATTACATACAGGTAACATTGGTAAAAATATCCCTTAATGTGCAATAGAAGAGCAGTATCTCTATAAGTGCTGGGAAGTGCAGCTGCAGCATGTATTCCCAGGGAACTGCATGAGCTGTACACCCCGCACTGTGACACACACAGCTCCAGCTACAATGCTGCTGGCACTCAAACTCTACAGAGTGAGACCAGCTGAGAGAACACTATGTGTCTTCTAACTCATTCTGCAATAGCTAATAAAGTTCTACACAACTGTTGAGATCTACCTCAACTGAGCTCTTACAAAGTAGATGCTTGTTTCAACACAAAACTTACTGAAAAATCAAGGTCTTCCTGGCAAAAACAAGCATTCGTCTTTGAAAGATGATTAAATAAATCACAAATAAATAAATGCATTTGCCAAACCAAAAATATAACACATTTTTTAATTTTTTTAAATCCATTTAAGAGATGGAAAGGCAGTAATCGGAAACACAGAATGCCTGAAATTACTTCACTTATTTAAAAATTATTCCTGTTTTGATTTTCAATATATTAAGTCCCAGTAATACAGCACTACCTAAATTAGGCATGTAGCAAGTGATCAAGTTAAGGATGATAACACTTTACTCAGTTCTGAATGAACGTAAAATTGTGAGTTCAAAAGTTACAACATGTAACATTGAGCTCTCCTAATTCTGGTATCAATAAAAATGAGTTCAAACTAAAGGGAAAAAATATTCTAAAGGCTGAAGTAATATATAACAATCTGTAAAATACTATACTGTAATTAAAGAAATAATTTTTTGCTACCAACTTATTATCTCCATTGGTTTTACCTGACTCTAATTTAATATTTTTAAAGACTAATGTTGTTGTAAATATTTTGTCTAAAACAAGGTAAATGCAAATATTTTATCTAAAACATGTGTGCATACAGTGGCTAAGCTATGACAGCTATGATTGAGATGAGTGGTTCACTACATCAGATAGAGACCAAGATGACAGAGAGACATGCAGTCTTCATTCAGTACTTTTTCTAGGTATAAACATCACCACATACTTGAGTACTTGGGTGCTCATTTGTAATCAAAGTCATAAAATAAATGTGTATATATACATATATACATATATGTGTGTGTGTTTATCAAGAACTAGATCGGACAATAGAGGAAAAACTTTTGGATCTGCAAGCAGTATCAGAATCATGACCACAGGCTCGCTGATTCTCTTCTGGGGCATCCAGGACCACCAAGACTGACTCACCTCTTTGCTCTCTTCATATTGTCAGAGATAACCATGTCATTCTGGATGGCTGCTGTTTCTACCACAATTCCTAAAGAGATTGTTGCGATCCCAGCTAGCAAAAGTCCACTGTAAGTAGAAGGTCAACAGGCAAAACTTGGAGCAAAGAGATGAGTTTGAATGGCCCTGGTCATGCTGCCATGAAATAATATTTTACCTCAGCTCCTGTTCTACAAATGACCACCCTTCCAGAACCTCTAAAATATTTTCTACTACAACTTGGCAAAGAGGAGACAGTGGACAAATGTCAAGCAGCCAACAAGGATACAAAACAAAGGTTTACATATCCATTTGCCTATCTCAGTCACAACAAGATTTTCTCAACTGAATTTCTGAGAGGATCAGTAAAGGAGAACCTGATAGGACATCTGCCTTCCCTGTTCATGCCTTACCTAAATCAGGATCTGAGGACCAGCAAGTAAAATCCATGCATATATGTGAGTTATAGAAATCATAAGTAAAAAACCAAAATGAAAAAGATTAAAAGTATTAACCCATTTACACAACAGAAGCATTGTACAGCAAAATTCTCAAAAACTGACAGGTACAAAATCACATCCAGATACTATATCCTGCAAGACTTTACCACACAATTAAAAACTTAACAATAAGGAAGCAGGCCAAAACTTCTTCTAACAAACCCGTATCATGAGGTACTTAAAAGTTGTTATTGAAGATGTAAACATTTAATGATATTTTATACTAAAACTATCCAATAAATTATTTTTACATTGTTTAACTTCCTTTGTATTGATCTTAAAATGCTTTGGGAATACTCTGATCCGATTATCCACAGGACTTCCCAAAGACTAAGAAAAGTTTCCATAAAGTGCATAAATACAACTTCTATGTGGGTCTACATAAGCTCTACCAAGATTAGGGAAAAGCTTCCAAACATACAAAAATCTCCACTGCATCTAAAATACTAGTTATCCTGCTCAAACATATAGCAAAGTGAAAATAACCAATGCAGATGGCTCAGACAAAATTACAAACGTTCAAGGAGTATAAGGATGAAACTATTAATTTTGTTTTCTGATCAGACAATGTGTTCATTTTCTGTTCAGTCTATTAATTACTAATCAGTTATCCTGATTCTTTTAAACAATCACCAGAGCATGACTTGGGCAGAGGGATGCACACACAGGCAGAATCACATCATTTTACAGCATCCATTGAGTGACCTGAAATTGAAGCCCTTTTGCAATATTATCTCTAGCAAATATGAATAAATTCATATTTGCAGCTAGACTATTTACAGAAAATTTTACATGACAGAAAAGGAGACAGATCACAGTGCAAATTTTAAGTATCTAGCAAAAGAAGAAAATTGTCTTACAAATTACCACTACAGCGAAGAGGAAAGCAAAAAAAAATGGGACAATTAGAAAAGATATATGACAAAAAGGCAGTTAGATAATATGGCTTCCAAAGACATTTTTGTTACAATTTACATATTGTGCATTTCACTTACAAAACTAAAACCTTAAGCTTAAGCTCTCCAAGCATATGAGTATGTATTATAACCCTGCACCAGTTATGAGCATTTTGACATTCTATTTCTATATTATATTAAGGCTGAAATTGAGTTTCTGTCCTGTTAGTCTTGAGTATTTTGAACAGTGAAACACTGCCACCTTTTGTCTTGATACATAGACCTCCCAATTTTAAATGTAGAATTCCATCTTTTGTTCCATTTGTCCTTATGAAGGTGGGTGAATCCTTGAGGTCTTATCTAAAATTTTATTCAGTAGACATACTTCACCAGGAAGAAAAACATACAGTACTAGTCAATAAGGCGTTTTTTTCTCATAAGTGCATAGCCAAGCAACTCAAACTATACTCCTTTAGGCCACATAATGTTTTATCTATTTTCCACCTCACAACTCTTTGTTCTTGGCAGTTTTGGTACACATACACGTTGTATCACATGATACCTTGCATTGCATTCCTTTCAAGTAAAAGCCTGGTAATGCATTGTTTGAACATCTGAGTTTTGAAAACAGACAATAGAAGTAACAATAATGCATTATTTAAAATGTTAGGTTCCTTGCTCATGTATATACCTACATTATTGTAGACAAAACACTGATAGTTCAACATCTACATAAGCATGTATTGAAACATATGCAAAATTACTTACACCAGTGACACAATGTCCCCACGTTGTACATCATAATTTCTAATGCTCCAGTGGTTCAAGAGTACTACATCAGATGCTTGTCTTCCCCCAGGATTCAAAGAAGGCTGAGAGAAGGGGAGAAAAACAGACCTACATTTAGATCTACATTTTCTTTTTCAATCTTCCCCCTAATTACCTTTCCATCAACACATGAAACACATTAAAATTGGTAAAAAACATACCAATACTCACCATAAGAGGCCAAGAATCTGTTCTATTACAGGAAATACATTTGAAATACACTTCTTTATTAAGTGACACGTTAAAGATCATTAATTTAAGACAAACTCTAGTTCACATCTTTTAATGCATTACTGCATGCAAATCAGATTACATAGGATACATACTTATGTTGTCATTATATTGCAAAGGTTCCATATTGTTGTTTTCATTATTGCAAGAGTTTCATACCTCGTTGATTTTTCTCATAGGCATCTCCTCTAAGCACTGACTCTTCCTTCTTCTTACAGCAGCCAACTGACGCCAGTTCCCTTCAACCAACCAATCCACTCTTTTCTAACACTCTTCTTCTTATTGGTGACAGCTGCGGCCTGGTAAAGTCAGGCCTGCTCCTAATCTTTAATAATTGGCTCAGCTGCAACTCCTTAGGGGTAAGATTACTTTATATACTACCTTTATTTTCTTATATTCTATCCCCCTACATACTTACAGCAAACCTGATGAAAAGAAGGGATTGCTGTTACTCCTTATCATTTAAGATTAAAATCAAAGGAGAACCAAGTCCGCAAATTCCCAGGGAAAAAAAACCAAAACAAAACCAAAAACAAACACCCAAGCTTTTTGCAGGCATCTTACTATTTATAAAAGCATATTGCACTAAAAATGAAAAATGGACTTGTAGCAATAGTAATCTCAGCATCCTTTGCAAAGGGGAAAAACAAGCCCTATATCTACAGCACACACTGACACTGGCAACAATTGTGGGCCTTCCATAACAGGACACAAAAGGGCATGAATCAAAATAATGAAGTAATTAACGCATAATTAGGAGGCACATCAAATCCCCAAAAATTATTTTGTGTGATATGATACAAAACCAGGGTACCTGATCAATGCTGCCTCTGAGTTAACTCTTGGGAAAGGGCAGAGGAAGAAGTCCACCACAATACTGTCTTTACTTATTTTTTCAAGGTTTACTTGAAAACAGAGGCTCCTTTTACTAGATAGAAATTATTTAAGAGTATTCAAGACTGAAGTTTTCTATTTATTTCTCAGAAAGCTTTTTCAGGCTCTTCAAACAAAATTACAGTATCTCTCAATTTGGCCAAGAGATAATCACTAATTAGAGTTAGGTGATATATGCAATAAAGCGCATAGTGTTGCAACTACGCTACCCCTCCTTTGTATGGTAATTGCAATGTTAGCTAAAAATTTGGTTATTGTTGCTGTTGTTGTAGAAAAGGCACTTACACTATAACTTGAACCACCACATAAACCACTGGACTTTTACTTCTGATATTCTCCTCTCCAAACTGATGGTACCTTTGATGAGTAAACCAACAGGAGGACTGAAATTAACTCTTCTCAACCCTAGTAATTACACAGTGTCAAATTTCATTCCATCACTATTCAGAAAACTGCTCTCAAATGAAATGGTTATTTAGTATTTATTTTTAACTTCAAAAGCAATTTCTCTTTATTACAGTTTCTTCATTCATCATTGGTTGAATGATTGGTTCACAAAGACATGCTTCAAAGGGGATTTGTGAAAAATTAGTTTTTCAAGGTGAAAGAAGAAGGGTCCTCAGTAGGTATAATTCACATGAACAGTATGCAATAAGCTAGGTCAAAAGAATAAACATGGTAGAGAGAGGGGGAGGGATATGACATCATATGTTTAGTTAAAGAGCAAACAAGGCTACTTACATTTTGGGCTACAGGCAAATTTCCAGCAAGGTAAATCAGGGGATCAAAGCAGATCACTTTAATATCCATAGAGATAGGGTCTGAGTCTAAGCTATAAATATATTAGTACTCATTATTTACTAGACTCAATGCACTGCAAGAACCAGATAAATGAAAACCAGGAGCTAATTAGCAGTTATTTTATTAGTAGTTTTTAATTAAGAGTTCCAGAATTATTTATCACCTTTACAGCATTTTCCACCAAAGGATCAAATATTTACATACAAGTGACTTACATACAAACTCACAAACAATTCAGTCATACTCACTTTGCCAAATGCAGGTACATAGGGGCCAGAATCTTTCAACCCTACTAAGTATAAGGCAGAGGCCAATCTTACAAAGCAGGAGTCATACATATGACATATTCTCACAAAGCAAACTCCTTAGTACTAAAAGGTATCTGCCTTAAAAGGCTAAAAGAGGAGGATGAAACCTTTAATAGAAACCTTAAAACCATTGTTCCAAAAGATAATGTATCTAACAGCTGATATTTAGAATACATCTAAATAAGTGCTTACACACTTTTTGTGTCACATAAACTTACATCAACTACATCTTAGAGAGAAATACACCAGGTAGTTACAGTATTGCCCCAGTTGCACTATCCCAGTTGACTCCCATTTTTATGCATTTAAACAAAGGCACTACCTTAGAATTCAAATACATTTGGGTATTGAATAAGCTTTTTTAATTTAAAGCACTCTAAATGCATTTTTAACAATACCTGACCTCATTTTGACATACAGAGTAGATATTCAACTCATACATTAGAATGGTGTTTGAGAAAAATACAACAGTATAGGCTTTTTTCTTCTCTCTTACAAAAAAAAACACCTGACAAACGTGCAGACAATAATAATATTTTATTAGAAGAAAGCAAAGGAAAACTAGGAGACAACTATTCATTTACATCATCACTATTGTCTATTAAAAAAACAAAAGGATAAATCCTTCAGCAAGCCTCTCTGTTGTAAATAACTTCTCTATTGTATATTCTTCTCTATTGTAACTAACTGAGATTCCACAACAAACAAGTATAGAAACAATACTACTTATTCCTCAAGATATTTTAACTACTAGTAAGGTTTCAGGTCTAGGAAAATAAAAATACAGCTTCTGCAAAAGGAGTCAACAAATAGGGTCACAAGGACTTTTCATAAGAAACAAAATGACACAGAGGTTTCTTCCTTCTTGTCTGAAGTATTATAACTTCTTTGCTCAAGTTTTTGGCATAAAAGCCTGCTACAAATAAGGCACACAGGTCTTAATTTAAACTGCGGTGCAGAAGCCACAAAACATTACTCTTTCCAATTACTAACTAATCTAATGCTAAAAGCATGCAAATTGAGATCCCCAGCCATATGATGAAGCCTCATAGGACATGAGGTTCCATAAGTAGGAGGGTAAAAACATGCCCTTTTGCTATAAATAATGATTAACTTGATAGTTGTTATGCTGCTAGTGAAGGTCACAACTTATTTGCTTGAAGCTTGGGGAACACAAAGAATATTCACATGAGCTTACAGGCTTAGGTACAGTAATCCTAATAATAAAGTTAGGAGAAACTGCCACAGAATAATTACAACTGCTATTATGCATAATGGAATAGAACATTCAATAATGTTGCTGCAGAAACATGAGTGTTTCATCAGAGATCACTGCTCAGGCCATTTCCTATAATCCTTGGTGTTGAACTGTTTGCAATAGAACTTGCATATAAAGCTGCACATATGCTGTCATTCTCTATCCCACTTTAAAACAGTCAATTTGATTTAGTGAATTTACAAATTTATATATCCATGAGGGGTTCCTTTTCCACATCTTTATGTATGAAGAGTCTGTAATACTGGACAAGCAATGAAACTCAATAAAAAAATAACATAAATCAATATCAAGCTGTCCATATGACAACAAACATTTTAAAGACACTACAAGAAGTCACACAAAAAAATTCACAACAGTCAATTAAGAAATCTTACTATCAGTTATTTTTTTCACTTACATTTAATATTGTAAACAGATTGCAACTCACTAGAAACACACTATTAATAGAATGCTAGATGAGCATATAAATCTAAGCAACAAAACTACCTCATGTGATGATTAAAAAACTCAGTAAATTTGGAAATAAAAGAGAAGGTAATGAAACTATTAAACTGTTAAAATTATAAACTGCAATAGCTCACACTTATTCTCTATAGGTTAGAGTTAATACACATATACACTGAAGTCAGCACAAGTGAAATTATGACAGGTGGCTGAAAGCACTGAAAAATACAAAATCAGCTGGAGACAATGGAATGCATGAAGTCTTTCTTAATTGGTTTGGTCAGAAAATTTTAATTTTCATTAGAAGCTTTATTCATATGCTTGCCAGGGTGTCAAAAAGTGTTCCCATTATCAGCACTGTGAAGCAGCAGTAAGGCTGGTCCAGAACAAATGGAGAAAGTGTAGGGGGAGAGAAAGCACACAGCAGAGAACAAGAGTAGGAGAGCAAGCATGACACAGAAATTTATTTCTTGCTTCTTATCAAAACTTTTAATTTCAGGCTCATCAGGAGCCAGAATTATGAGTATACAAAGGCAGCTAGACAATTTAGAGGTCTATTACAAACAGATTACTGAGAATCTTACCATGGTATCAAATTGAGACAATAAGGTATCACTGGAAGCATGTGATTGAAAGATACAATCTGACTTCAAACCGACTGAACCTCAGTCTTCCTCATACCTATGGCTTTAAGATATGTTTGACATAGATCACTCTCCAAAGAACACAGTTAACAGACAGAATTGCAACATGACCAGTACTCCCTCAAGCTACTATTAAAGAGAGAGATACATTCCTTATAATTGTGTCCCTGTCAGACTTGCTTAGATAGCTAATAAATCTTGGCAAGGAAATTAGTATCTTATCAAAAGCACCAGGATTTTTTTTTTCAATCTGAAAAATGGCCATATCCATAGAAGTTTAAAACAAACCTCTATTTCAGTTCTGTTTCAGAATACAACCAGAGAGTTTTACAGACACTGAAGTGTCAGTAAAACTATAAATGTCAGCTTTCAAGCTGTCCATTTTTCAGTCAACAGAGGGAATGTTTAGTTAACAGATACAGCAAGGGAAAAGCTTCAATTTTAATAATCCAGTGAATATATATTGCTTTCCCTTTGTCAGATTGAATAAATCTAAGCAAATGACTGTAGTGTTCTTCAAATCTTCCATGGATAAACCACAGTCAACTATGTGCCCTTCAAGTGAGTAGCAAAGCAACACTCCAAAACAATACCAGAGCACTCTCAAACACTTGGGACTGACTTCAAAGAAAACATAAAACTGAGATACTAATCAGAAGCACAACAGACTTATGGAGAGGGAAATGTAAGAAATTTCTTTCCAGCTACTGAAGCAAAACTATTGCACAATAATGGATGTCAAACAGAACACTACACCAGAGGCAGAAAAAGATGAAACAATAAATGGCAAAGTGGTGTGCTAAAAAAACATTTAAACATTTAAATGCTCAGGTCACACCCACTAATAGCAACCCCCCCCCCCCAAAAAACAGAAACAAACAAAGGCAGAAAGCCAAAACAAAAAATCCAACATGAATCTGCATCTTAAAACATTCCATGTGGCTCTAGACCTGCAAAAGGGGCAAAAAATGGGAAGATGGAAAACAGAGGAGTTGTACTCATCTGGCTAATTTTGTACTTCTCCAGATGCTATCCTATATGTTTGAAGTTCTCCTGCCTGAAGATAGCAAAAAGATAACAGAACAGTTTTTTTCACAGTTTTCCCTTCCTCTCCTTTTTAGTGTGAATTTCTGGCTCTTCAACTGCAAGCCCTCAGATCATCCTCACTTTTACTTGTCATCAATGATATTCAGAAAAATCTGTGAAAAGGGCAATAATAACCTAGGCTACACCTAGCTTTTGGCCTTGGATTGTAGAATTACTGGAGTAACACAATTTTATTTCCATCCCTGTTCTTGATGTGAGAGCTGCCTGCTGAGGTTTCTGGACAGAGTTTAAACATCAGATTACAGACTGCCACAAAAGACACACTGCCACCTTGCCATTCCATCCTCCCCTCCACATACTCTTTAGAACATTAAACATAAATCAGCCAAGTGCAGGATCAAGCCTAAGTTTTCTAGCCCATGCATAAATTCTGCAAAATTCAAACACCAGCAGCTGGCCTTGATTGCTGTGAAATCTCTCTTCAAGGTTCTGAGCTTATTAAGACAATCAGAAAAGAGAGCTTGACATCCAAAAATCAAATCCGTACTCTCTACTAATTGGAATGTTGCAACATTGGAACAAAATACATCATTGTTATCAGTGGTGATGCATACCAAAGTGCAGTGCATATGATTTAAAATGCAAAGTAATAACATGGAAATTTTCTATCTACGGTAAAATATAGCTTTTTCAAGATCAAATAAACGGTGAAAAAAAATAGTATTCATGAGTATTTATCATCTAAATGTTACACATTATATTTATTTGCTTATGCTGTATAAGCATTCAATATAACCAAAGTAAAAACAGTGAACTGATGCCTATTTCATGATAAACATAAGCAATGACAGTAGGTTCATGCCACTTTCAGTATTCTTCCCTGCAATCGTGCCATGTGTTCAATAGTAAGAACAAGTATAGCAAGAAACAGTTTTACCATACAGTTACTATAATGTAGCTACTAAAAATTAATAAAGCCTCTTTTTGAGTCATCAATTCAATCTCAAGCAACAAAATATATTGCTCCAAATATTTCTAAATGTCTAGGAAGATATTACTATTTCTCCATACATTTTCTTTTTACTGACACAGAATTTTGGGAAGTTTTGTTCTCAAAATCTTTTTTTTCACATCATAAAATATTTAACAAAGTAGAAATTAAACTATTCCATACCAGAAAGTCATCTAATAACAATTGAGATTTTTTTCACCTTGCTATTATCAGTGGAGAGCAACCTTTTAATCTCCTGAAAGACAAAGATATTTCCAGCAATACCTGCATTGATGCTCCTTCCACCCTTGCGACACAGGCAACTCTATCCAGAAAAGTCACAGTTACAGGAACGGCAACAAAGAAACCTTTAAAAAAGGCTTTAATGTATCTCCTCCCCAACCTCTGAGCCTGTGCCATAGTCTGAAAAACATGAAGGAAAGAAAAAAATCATTATAGAAAAAATTTGAAGTAACATCAACATGTTGCAATTTAACACAGAATTATTAATAATAAATTTATTATCTGTTAGAGGTTCACAATATTCAGAGTGAAAAAAAGAGAGCGTGTACATGAGAATGGAAAAAAACCCAAATCAACAAACCAGAAATCTTAATCAGATTTTAAATGTCTATTCTACAGAACAGAGCTTGATACTTCACATTTACTCTTTAGCTAATTTGAACATTTCTCGCGATCCTGTGCCAGCAGAAGTACTTGATAAAAATTATTGAAGGTGGCAGGTAAGCAAGAAGCAAAGTGATGCAAGCAGACAAAATTTAATAATGCATTTTGGAAGAAAGAAGCATTGCAAATAATTTTCTCTCCACACACTGGTATTTATTCATTTTTCACCCCCAAAGGTGGATTGTGTTAAGCAAAGGAAAGCTATTTGCAACACATCACTTTTTCTTTATTAAATATTTCCACAAATGAAAATGCACAAATGCATCATTTCCACACTGATGGTACTGCAAACATAAAATCAATTCAAATTGTCACACATATCATAGGGACACACCATAACATAATGACTCCTTGTTCACCACTCCATCACAAGGTTAAAAGCATGCTGGCAGACTAGGCAGCTACGTAATGACACATGGGATGATTCTACTCCAACTCCATATATTATACTACCTCTCAACTCTTTTATTTAGCCCTGAACATGCTTGGAAAATACCTACAAAGTGTACTGGGACACCAGCTGTTTCTTTGTATTAGTCATACCTCTGAAAAGCAAGCTGAATATCCAGGTACTGCTGCATAGACCCAAGCCGAATTTACATAATTGCAGTTGGATTATGACAAATGCTGTCTTTCACCTATTGGCAACTCCCTTTTAAACTGCATTCCACCTAATGAATCCCTGGTAGATCAGCTTGTGTTTATATCCAAGAATATAGAGTTATTTTTCAATTAAAGTAATGAAAAGTGTAAATATATGCAGTTTCATTCAATCCCCTTACAAAGTACTTAAAATTTCACAATATAATCCTTTTTTCTTTGTTGCATTTTCAGAAACATGGAAGTGATTAACTATTTGTATGCAGAATATAAACTGATATCACTCTGATGAAATAGTACTGAAGGTAGTATTTCTGTCACAGATAGAGCTTCTAAATTCCAAACAACCATCTAACTTAGAAAACTCGGTTCTACAAAACAAGCCATCTGCATATTCATCACTAGAATTCTTTATAGATATTAACAGCTTTGCAATGACAAGATCTGTCTTCTGAGACTATTACTTCTGACATTCACCTTCAAAAGATTTTAATTTTTTTTTAAGTGGAAATATTTCATCATCTGTAACTTGCTCACAAGTTTAAATTTTCGCACTGCTTGTAATTCAGTCATTTTCTTTCTGAACATTTCATGAAAACATTTTCAATTTGCATCAACCACTTTTACAAGTAATTTGTAATAGGTTGTGAAACAGAACAAAACCCTCAACATTTCAAGACAAAAGCTATAAGGATTTACTCTCAGCTTATCATTTAAAATCTGATTATTAGACTCAATCCACCAAAAGAGACTACTGCCTCAATCAGTAAAGCTTTACCTTTGGAAAATATGCCACTTTAAATACAATTTCTAAAAATCAGATTTTTACTACATTATCAAGGTAGTCAAAAAAATCTTTTGACTCCATTATTGCCTACACCTTAATACTCTTCTCTCAACCTATTTACTTGAACTTTGCATCTTGAGTTTTGTGGCTGGAACTCTACTTCTCTGCTATGAGGTCTGGCATCTCAGACCTCTTCTGCTCTAATTGCAATGCCAGCCACACAAATATATTCACCATGTTCTCTAGAGGAACTTGAGCAGGAAAACATTGTCTGACACATGTATCACAATATGGCTGATTTAAGAATAGTTTTAAAACATTCAGAAATCAAACAACTTCTCTTAAAATTCCTCAAACATCTTTTTCATTAATAATGAAACACGAATATTCATCCCATCCTGTCTACTGAATCCATGGACAGATATTGTTATAAACTTCCTGCAGAAGCCCCATGCTAGTATCTACAGAAAAATCAAGAATCTGAAGAGAAGTAATTAGCCAGACAATCCACAGGAGACCCACCATATGCTTCCTAGAACTACATGCTAATTAATAGTGACGGAGAATCTAGCAGTCAGGTTGAAGCTGCTAAGAAAAAATGCTTCATTCTCAGTACACCACTTGGACAAGGCAACACCAGCAGTATTAAGCAGCTGTGGACAACACTGGGAATTAAAGTCTTACTTTTGTGGGTTGGAACACATGTAGCATTACATGGCACAATATAAAAAAATATGAGGGGAAAAGCACCAGCAGTACCCCTACAAGCAATCAATTTGCAAAGCCACCAAAACCAACAACTTATGTGCTCAAGGACTTCTCTACTTGTCCCAATTTTTTCCTCTCCTCCCCTCTCCTCTTGGTAAGAGATCAAATCATTGGTTTCATCTTCCCTGTACACCAAAATGATGAGTCCTTCATTTATAATGATGAGTTACATTCCGAACTTTTCCTGGTTCCCCACATAGCTAAATTACTACAAATGTGGGCACTGTTAAGTCAGTATCTGACTTAACAGTGCCCACATTTTTGCCAGGTCTGCTTCATAAACTTTCCCCTCTAAAAAGCACAAATGAGTAAATAATACACATGCAGAGTTCCCAAGCAACTGTTGACAAAATAGTTCACCATCCAACTGCCAGTAAATGGGAAGTTTCCCCTCACTCTTTCCATACAAGGAGCTTCAAGTTGTCTTGCACTGCCACAGGGGAAGGGCAGCAGAAAGGCAATTTGCAGCATTACCTTCTACCAGTAACTGGACATGTGAATGGATAATCCTCAACTGATAAATACTGCTGGATTAAAATGTTCAGTGTTATTTTTTCTTAAACTTTGATGGTTGTAGGAGAAAAGAAGGGGAAAAAGTAATGATAAGCATTTACTGCACTCACAAGAGAGAATTTAGGGCAGTAAAGGGTAGACACAAAAATGACTCAAAATAAAAAAATTCTGGTTGGAGTTTTTTTTATAAAGAAAACATGAGATAGTCATCATTCTTGAAGATAATATTCTGCTCTTAGAGATTTCTAAAACATCTGTAGATTTTAAAAGCATCATATTTCTGGAGTGAAATTCTGAAATACAGTGCAGTGTCAGATTTACTATGACAGGTTTAAATGCATGTCAGTGAGTTAAGCCTAATATTGTTTACTGAAAAAAACAATTTCCCTACCACATATTTTTGGATCTCTGACCAACTTGACACCTTGAATAAGATCAACAAACCACAACACTTAAAAGATGTGGGGGGAAAAAAAGAAGAAACATAACCAAATACAAAAAAACCCAATACAATACTTTAGAGACGCATACACTTTTCAGCACCTCTACATTACACTTGGTTTAGAGAAAGAAAAAACCCCACAGAATAACTCAGTAGAACTGACAAACTTCAAACCAACAACCTTGAAGACTTGTTTGAAATGGAAACACGGACAAGAAAAATCCAAGATCAAAAATGCTAGCATATAGCAGGTCAAAGCATTAAGAATTTCACATTGTGCAGCTCAGAGATTAAGGCAGATGGAGCACAGCATTATCCAGACTGAAGTATTTGGTGCACAAAAGGTCCAGGGATTATAATGAGCCCCTCATGGGTACTACAACATATGGAGCAGAGATGCTATTTAGATAGCTCTCTATGTATAAAATGTTTATTTTTTCTTACACTTGCCTGCACATTAGAAGACACTGTTTATCACATAGCCTGCAGAAAATCATCAAGTAATTCAGAAAGCCCCAGGTTACAATATATTTGCAAACCTAGGTACTTAAAAATTACCCAAAGAAGTATGATAGGAAAAATAGCTGTAAAAACAAGGCATTAGCAGTCATCTGCAAAGGAAATAGAATGGCCCCTGATGTGCTTCTACAAGAAGACGTGAGGGAACAGGAAGGAAGGAATTACAACCTATACGCAAAGCAACTACCCCATCAAGACTGCTACATTCGTGTGAAATTATCTATTTGATCTTGTTCAGGAATTAGTAACTATATGATATATAGTTCAAGAATCCATTGAAACAACCAACTTCTCTCCCAATCAAAATATGTGTCTTTAAATAAATCAATTGCACCACATAGAATTCAGGAGATATGGTTTGAAAATAAAGAAGACTTTCATAACAAAAAACTCCACAACACAACACAAGCCCAATTTTATTGTGTCCTATAAAACATAAAACTGAGGACAGAAGCTTTTGTTTTAAGACTGGTCTAATTTGAATATGAGGTTATACCTGGTTTAACAACCATGATTAACAGGATACCACTCAGTATAAGAATTTGTGTGACCTTTTTACACACTCTTTTTCTACAATCCTTCATGATACAAGGCCAGAGTTAAATATTGCCATGCAGCCTGAGCCTAATTTCCCATTTTAGTTTCACATTTCCGTAATTTTTATATTATAGTGATTACTGTAAGGGTACAAGTATGCAGAGTTTTTAGTAGGCTTATTTAACTCATATATATTTATCCAAGTACAGGCTTGGACATGATGGTGATGAATGCCACAGAAGAATCAAAATAGACTAGCCCATAAGTTTTCAGTTAGAATCATCAATATAGATCAGTGCATTTAAGTTTTCATATAAAAATCCTATCTAATTCCAGAAGAAGCTCTCATTTATCCTTCAATAAAGCCAACTCTATCCTGGTATTATTCCACTATAGTGGTAACATGTCTATTCAATTAATGTATTTATATTCTGCACAGGTTTTACTCATCCTATTCCTCCATCATATTACTCTCTCTCTATCCCCTAGCACACAGACATGAAAGAACACTCCTCTATTTTGAGTTTGGAAATATCTCAGGTCATGGAAACAACTGTTGTGTTACTGAAGAAGAAAATCATAACCTAATCTGCAGTTTCAGCAACTGCACACGTATGCTCTGCTGTTCTTTCTTCTTTTCTCTAAATTACTCTTTTTGTTCTGACACCCAGATGTTTTGCTCGTTCCAAATACAAAGCAGCAGATTTTGTTAGTTTCAACTCCGTTTTGTACCATTTTCTTATGCCTTTGCTTGAATTTAAGCAATTACAATTTCCATGTAATAGCTCCCAGCCCCATGAAATATGTAGAATTTTTTCCAGTATACCACACTAAAGAAAAACAACAATAAAAATCCATTTTTCTAATTTTCTCAGTGCTGTAACATACAGAGAAGTTCCCAGAAGCAGACAAAACCAGATCAACCATAATGAGCTTTCAGCTCACAAACCAAATAGAAAAGCTTAAAACACAACAATCATGAACATAATCAGCCATAGATTTATTGCTGGGGGAAAAAAGTCAGTCTAATGTGGAACTGATTCTTCTTTTAATATAATATCACTATATCCCATCACTGGGATCTATGTCATGTCAAAGGCTTAGCTGATGTGTTGGTTGTAACTGGAAAGAAATTCGTATTACTTATTCTTAGAAATTAATTTTGTGTTTCAAGTACACAGATTTTACCCTAATGGACAATCTTGTACTTCCAACCAGAACATTTTACTGCTCAAATATAAGCAAAACTAGAAGAAAACATAGCTGTAGATCAAAGTTACTCTCAGCAATCAAATCAACAACTAGCTTAGGACAGCAAGTAATCAGCCATGCCTTAGCTCTGACAAGTTATTCAGGATTCCATTTTATACACACAAGCATAGGAATTACAATTAAAAACATTAGTAATTGTTACAAATTAGATTTTTTTCCCAGCACTTAAAACTTCAGATGTAATGAAATATCTTCCAAGTGCTAGCACACAGGTGACTGGCAGAGTACCAGTTGTTCTAACATACAAGTTACAATATTTGGGTTTATTCATGTTCCTGCACCTTCAAAGAAACTAAAGATCATTAATATATACAGTAGATAAAGGAAAGTACTAAATTACATTAATTTTTGGAACTCACTTAAAAGAGCAACAGAACACATGTTCAGCTTCTTACAATTGAAAGTTCTGTGTTGCTTTCAGCCTAAGGATTCAACGCCTAAGTTAACTGTTTAAAGTGTCCTTTGCAAATAACTACCAGCTGTGCTGTTTTGCTCTCAAGTAGAGTGCATAAATGAGGAGTTGCTTTGAAACTTACCAAATTTGTAAATTATATTTACAGTAAACAATAACATAACCTTTGACTTTCAATGAATTTGTGCATTCATCTAGACAACTCTCTGGATTCTTTCAAGCAGCATTGAACTATGATGTTAATTGTGGTTATCCAGAACCAAATTTAGGCAAAAACAAAGACAACAAAAAAGAGGAAATATTCATTTTTCACCAAAATATATAACTTCAAGTATTCAGATAACATTCAATGAACAGCCTAAAAGTAAGAATAACAGCACTCAGCTTCAAGCATTAATTTCATCATAAACAAATTCTTCTAAAAGATTTTGCTTTTAGATTAAGAAGAAGTTTCATATGGAACAGGGAAGGTTCTTCTAGCCTAATAGAAATTCAAATTAATACAAAAACAAATTAATAGAAGAAGAGTCTCAGCTATGAATCTTTAAAGCATGCCAGTATACACTGAGTATACAAGGACAGAATAATGACTGAAAATAATATTTATTATGGTATGAAAAAATGATGCCAAGAGAAAGAATAGAAAATTATTTTACTATTTGAAAGGTATTTTCCATTTTCAGCATACTTCACAAAAATAACAAGTTCTCCCACAACTACTGCAAAAGCAGCTTTGTGTATCCTTGTTCAAAGCAGGGAAACTGGGACTGACTCCTCGACAGAACATTCCCATGAAAGCCAGCAGTAAAACCCAATGAACCAACTACTTACCACCTACTGTGTGGGGAAGAGTAATAAACTACATGTATAAACTAACACAGAAAATTATGCCTTCAAAAATAATTGCCTTTATTTTAACAACTCATGTTTTATCCTTGAACTCCAGAGGTCACTGTGGGAGTTGTTAAGAGCAGACCTAGAGTACTCCATCCTTCCCCACCATTTGATTTTGAGTCTGGGATTCTGGAAAACTTAAACTGCCGTGCCAGTTTCTCAGGTCCCAAGAATAAGCAAAACAGCTTAACAAGCATAAGGATATGGATTTCTAGAAACAGATTAAATCTCTGGCACCCTAGTCATTTTATAAAGATCTCACCACAAAATTACAACTGTGACTGTGAAACCATTTGAATCTTCAAATTATTGATAGCATGCTTAAAATACTATTTTCAGGGATCTGGATATCACCCACTACTATATCATGTGTACAGTTACTAACAATTCCAGGAGAAAATGTATTTTGGTAAAAATATACACATTAAATAAAAGAGCCTGTAATTTTAAAAGTAAATTAAATGAAAGACTCTTAAAAATCCTCCAAATACAGTAGTTAAAAATGTTACGTTTTTTTACAAAATGCATATGCATTCAGTTACAAAGTTGCATATTGGAAAAAGAAAGTCTAATTCTGAAGTTTTCTAGAGGAATTATTTCATTTAACCTGAAAATCCTCAAGAGGTTCTGTCTTCCTAATATATTTGTTGACAATTTTGATTTTCTTCCTAGATGGACAGTGAACAAGTATGTGTGGCATCTGCTTTTAGGGGAGAAAAAGAAAATAAAAACGTAGTGGTACAAGAAAATTATTTAATTATTTAGAGGGATATATAAGCAGCTTTGCCTATTCTGCTCTCTTGGTGTGCTCAATGAATTCCAGTTCCACAGAACCAGAATTGTTATTTAAAAAAAAAAAAGTAAAACTTCTGCAATGGAATACTGGCTAATCAAAAGATTTTACAAAGTTAGAGTCTACTTGTTTAGCTGCACTTATTCTATCTAAGGTTTTTGCCAACTTTAAAAGAGTAGGAACACCAGAGAGACACGTCTCGGAACTGGCTGAATCTCTTCAGCTTCAAGCATTGCAGTCTTTATACACAGAAGCGTTTAACTAAGAACAGATTGCAGGACAAGCGCCAGACGTGGAAAAGCAGCCACTTTAGGAAAAGTTATACATTATAAGCAAACAAACAAAAAAAAACAACAAAAAATTCTCTCTCAGATGTCCGGGTTGTAGGGTAGCAGTAAAGCCACTCCATCGGATGCCGGAGAACAGCCATTAACAGAAGTCCTCATAGGACAAATACAAGATGTGATAGAAGTTTAATAAAGCAGAAAAATACATTAAGTAAGAGCTGCACTGAGTCCAGGGCCAAGCGCCGTGCACAGCACAAGTCCCATTTGCAGACACGATGCCCAGGAAGGGCAGCAGCACCCGGAGCCGCTTCCAAGCCCATTCCCCCGCCCAAGCTCGCCTCCTCCCACCGGCAGCAGGGCACGCACCGCCTCTGCCAGGCGGAGGGCGCACAGAGCAGCGGTGCTTCTCGCTATTGACTCGGCCGGTTCTGTTTAATCCAGTCCCTCCCCACGGGAAATGGCTATCCCGGTAATCTGAGGGGCTAAGAAGGGAGGGATCGCACACGCGACCGAAGGCGGGCAGGCAGCAGCCGCCCTCGGCGAGCGGCGCTTCCGCCGGCCCCACAGGCCCCGCCCCGGGGGAGGCGCCGGCCGGGGGCAGGGGCGGGGCAGGGGCGGCACCGGCTGCGGGAGGGAGCTCGCGGCCGGGCCCGCCGCGCGGCGCCTGCCTGTCCCCGCCACTGCAGCCGGAGCCCCCTCTGCTCACGCCCGTCCCCGCTCCCTCCTCCACCAGCGGGCTCCCCGGCCCCTTCCCCGCCCCGGCTCTCCGAGCCCGCCCGGCTCCCGTGGCTCCGCCCGGCTCCCGGCCGCTCCCGCCGCTTACCCTTTGCTCCGTTCCGCGGGGGGCGGGCCGCAGCCGGCCGCGTCACGTGACGCGCGGGGCCCGCCGTGCTCCCGGAACGGCCGCCCCGAGCGGGCCGCCTGAGGGGCCGCGGCTGCACCGCGCGGCCTGACGGGCTCGCCCTGTGCCGCACACGGGGCCAGGCAGGCCCTGCGCGGTGGAACGTTCTCGGCCTGGTCCTTTTTCTGCCCCGTAGTTACAGTTTGAGTCCCCAAAACATTGAGGATGCTGCATTGCAGTGGCTGTTTTCCTCCAGTGAGGATCGATATCCATATACACAAGGATATATACTCCTGTGGCCAATTTTTGGCAACTGAGCAACAATGAATCTCTTTGGATATTCATATGCGTGAAAAGTGCATATTATATGGCTCTACGCAGATACTTACTATATGTATTTTGATGTATTGATTAGTAGTGCTACATTAACATTTTAATAATATAAATGTAGTTTTGTAGTTAAAAGGTAACTTTTGTAGTTAAAATAAGAACTATGTAAGTGGGATATTTTTTGAAGAAAGGAATGAGGCACTCACACTAGATGGCAGCCACAAGACACCTAAATCGTTCAGAGAAATGGAATTTATTGTTCTCTTATCAGAAGAAACTAAATTCTTCCTGCCTAGCTAAAGATTGAAGGCGCCTTAGGATTAGGAGGAAGAAGTTGACAATGATGAGACCAAATCCTTTGATAGAATGGAATTTATGCATCATGTAAGGAGTGTATGAATATGCAACAGGCTACAGCTCTTAAGGGTTAATCCTTTGTTAACGTGTGTCCTTTTTCGGGCTTGTGCTGCCCAGAAAAAGCTACCAGGACGTCCGTAACTCTTTGTCTCTATTATCTCATGTTGTCCTAATTCAAATTGTCCAAATTATTATTACTCTAATTGTATTACTATTTTTATAACCATTTTATTACTATTAAACTTTTAAAATTTAAAAAAACCAAGCTTTTGGTGTTTTTCACAATACGTAATACTGGGAGTTCTTAATATTTCAGTACAAAGCTGTTCTGATCTTGCATACAGCGTAACCCACAGAAAAGTGCAAGATTTTTGTTCAGCCGATGACTTCCCCTAGAGCACCCCAGGTGTGATGGGCACCGATGTCAACCACATGTGGTGCATATAGAGCTGGCTGCATTGCGCTGGCTTCATGGAGGGTGGCTGTGTTTTCCTGGCTAGTGCACATGGATACACTTGGGCTTGTGCTTTCATTCAGTGATTAGTTGTTTTTATCAGTTGCTGTAACAAGTTGTGGGTGCCAGTATAGTCTGAAGAAGGTTTTTCCACATAGCTCATGTACCTTCAAGAGTCAGTGAGCAAGTTCATGGAGGGAAAATCCATTACAGATTATCACTCACATAAACACTACCTCTGGCCCAGGGCGTTCCTAACTAGATGCTGGGAGATACTTCTACTAGTCAGGCCATTGTTGGAAACCAATGTAAGATGACACCTCTGCCTGTGTAGTCAGATATTTGCAATTTATTGCTAAAATGTTATTTTTAAGCTCAAATATAAAATTGTCCATAATTGAACTGATCTTGACTTTGAGGCTGAGCTATGAAAGTATGAATGCATGGTTGTCTGTAATCTGACCATGTCTTTTCTATATATTTCCACAGTTGTTGAGATAGGAGTTAACTATCTTAAAAGGCACTGCAGTAGAGTACTTATTAATAAATTGAATTGGAAGGCACACTTGAAGACCAATTCAGTACAAGGTATATGAATTATGTACACATAGTCTATAAAATTTCTTGTTTCACACTTGTTCCAAACACAACATGCCCAGCATCTTGTAAAATGTGAACCGTTCAGCAATGCTTACTGCTTTTAATGCTCTGTTTCGTGGGGCTGGCACAGAGGGTGGCTCATGGTGATGGGGTTATCCCACAGTCATTTGTGGGATGACTGTGCCCAGAATTCTGTGCCCAGAATTGTCACTGCCCTAACCGGCCTTTCTCCTCACCTCCTCGCCCCCTTCTCCACCATGGCTCGGGCGATACCATGGTGGGTGAAGGGGGGCCCAGGATTCTGCAGGGGTTGGAGCTGGAGCTGGTCCTTCCTTCCAGTGAGGCATAGGGGCAGCATCCACGCAACATAGCGAGTGGATTTGATCTGAGATCCTATTGCTCTGTAGGGCTTTTTTGTTGGTTTTTTTTCCTTCAGCACTGCAACCACGGCCTGCCGGTTTGCTCGCCTGTTTCCCTGCCACTCGGGAGCTCAGAGCCAGCGGTGTGGTGCCAAACCCAGGACAGGGAGTGCCTCCTGCCGGCCCCCCGTGCGTTGGGCTCCGAGACTCCTGTTCACTGCTGGCTCTACACACATGCCTGCTCGCCTTCTCCCTGTTTCCCAGCCATTTGAGGGTCCAGGGCCAATGTGTGGGGTGCCATAGGGATTGGGAGATAGTCATGTTTTCCATTCCAGGGAGGTTCCTGCCTTCCTTTGCAGACACCTGTCTTTTAAACCAGAACATGCTTAAAACATTTTTATGAAAGAAACATAATTGGCTTTGGTGTGATTTTGTTTTCTGAAATACATGATCTGATATATATCACTTGATGCCAACATATATGCTACTCAGGGAAAACCAGTGATTGTTACCCTATCTCAGTTTTTGTTTTCCTTTGACACACTTTTAAATAAGCATTACCTTTACAATCAAATAAGTCTTACTAACTTTGTTGTTGGTTAACCTTTATTTAATGCATTCTTTAACACATTTGAATATTGTGCTGCCTTTAAGATTCTACAGGTAGGTTATCGGTGCACTGTGTAGAAATCAATAGAGTATTTGGCCACTGCTGTCCACCATCTCCATTTCATGTAAATATTTTACTGTGAAACCTTCACTAATTGTTTACAAATATTGCTGCAAAACACAATAACGTCTTTTTAATTGTAACATAAGAGAAACACCTTACAGGAATGTGCCTCAATGTTTCCATGCACTTGAAGCTGACAGTATGAAGTAATTTACTCTAAAACTCCTGATCTGAAACTCTTTTCATGTGAAAGATTTTTGCTATAAACCTCTCAAAATCAAATCATGGTTTATCAGTTCTCTTCATTTTGAAATCAGCTGTGTGCTAAGCAACTAGCAGGAAATGCCCATTCTTCCTCTTTATTTAGTTGTGGATAAAGTGAAATTTATCAAAGCTGATACTAAAACTATGAGCTGCAAATGATGAATTACCAATGTTTGCACCATTTTTAAATTTTTTTTAATAAGTGTTCTACGACAACTGCATTGGTACCCAAAAGTAAATGGCATGGTTTTTTGCTTTCAACTCTTAACAAGGAGGTACTGAAAATGTTTTGCTGCGTCTATGCTTTGGTGCATCTGAGACTGAAATAAAGAAAAAACGAGCCCTTTTTACCTACCTCTTCAATTACTTTTCAGTTGAGAGTACCACTAAAACATTCTTGGCAATACACAAAACTTTTGCACTACAATATCCTTTTGAAAGACTCTCAACAGACTCTCAAACAGCAAGCTTTAAGCTAAAAACAAATTTACTTTTGTTTCCTCCAGGTTAATTTCATTTTACATTTTAAGAGTACAGAAAATGTATGGGAAATATTTAAGACTTGCTTTGAATTAAAGTCCTTACATTTGCAAATACAACTATGTGTAGGGTATTTAAGGCATTTTTATCTTCCTCCATATAGTAAAGAATTGAATGTTTGAGTGGTGTGGAGTGTATTGCTCTGAGGGAGTGCATTTTGGAGGAAAATACTGGGCCAGATCCAGCTGCCTCAGAACACAGGAAAGGTGCAGTGAAAAAAGGGCACAGGATCAAAAAGTCTGATTGGTTAATAGATATTGCAGATGAACACTTCATATAGTCCAGCTGCAGCTTGAAGAACTGATGGCCTAAGGGCAGCAATCAATGGTGTGGCACAAAAGAGGGCAATAAATCTTAAACTTGCTATTGTACTGGAAGAAATATGATTGCAGCATCTTCAGTATTGTATTATTGCACATCTCCATTCCATTACATGACTGGCAACCTAACTCCTGCTACCTTTCACCATCACATATTATTCATGTTATGCCTCATACACACTGAAACACAGTCTGGTCAGAATAAAGTAGATTTTGCTTACAGTTAGTCAGGCAAGACACAGAGCACTAAAGAGGTCTCTAGTGATCTCTACATTAGGGAAAAAGAGAAGAATTAAAATGCAAGAAATTTATTCCTGAAATGCTATCACAGGTCAGTGAAAATAGCATAATCTTTGAAGGCCATAAAATATATCAATAGCTTATGATAGTCAAGCTAATCGTCTTGTGTTCCTCAAGGAACAGTTATTACACTCATATTTTTGCTTAGGAAAGAAGGAAACAAACATGATTTGCAAAGTCAAGAGTCTGTTGTCAACATAGGTAAATTCTTGACAGGCTCATTAAAGATTTTTCAGGCCAGATTTAATAATTACAAAAACAAACAAAAAAAAGAAAACAATGCTATTACAAGGAAAAAAACCCACGTCTATTATAGACAGCCAAAGTTCTTATAACAATTCCTAACATTTACCTCCCTGGTGTTTTGCTCACCCTTCGGTGTTTTCCACAGGTCTTTAGATGGTTTGGTTCAGTGTGATGGGAGTTGTTTGTTTGCTTTGTTACCCCTGCAACTGGTTTTTCCCAACCTCCCAGGTCAGTGTATTTTTAG